AGTCAAAAGGACATGGGGTCAGTCTAAGCCATATCACCAGCTGCCTCTGCAGGCTCCTGCATTTAGGAGGCACCCTGGCCAGGTGCCAGGGTTATAGGACTTGAATCCTACCTAAGTCGTCCCAGACTTATGTCCAGATTCCCGTGATTCTGCCCAGCTGGAAGGCCTGGTTCAGCTGCCAACTATGAGGCCCTGGGGACTCCTCCCTTGACCTGTGACCCCTAGTCAGTATTCAAGATCAAATGTTGAGTTGGGTCCAGGATCACCAGGACTTTTTAGAGTCAGGAGGGCAGAGAGTGAGGCCTCAGGGATCCAGAGGCCAGGTCCTTGTCTCTTTGTCCAGGAAGGAAAGAAGAAGCAGGGACACAGAGTTCTGGCTCCCAAGTATGGAGAAGATTCACCCTCCAAGCTCCAGAGGGTGAATGGTCTGACTCCAGTCAGAAGGGCCATCCCTTGCATCTTGGGTGTGGTGTATGGACACCTCGCCCTGGAGGATGGGGAAGCGAGTACACATTGTGTTTTGGAGAAAGCTAGTCAGCAGCTGAGGGCCCTGACTCCTGGTTGATTTCCTGTGGTCACCTCAGACTTGGGGATCCTCCTACCTCCTGTTCTCTGTGCTCCACAACGTGGAGTCCAAGGCTGGGCCACTCCTCCTGGTGCAGGGCTCCTTGTGCCTGGTCGGTGTCCAGGGACTGAGGGCTGTGAGCTGAGATGGACTCAGACTGGGCTGGGAGGTCCCAGCGCAAGGGGGTTCTGGACCCAGGGTCAAGGCCCAGGGCTGCCCCCTGTAGGTGGTACTGGCCTTGTGCTCCCCCTTCTGGGCTCCTTGATTCTCCCTGTCACCCCAGCATAAGGGGGGCTTGCTCTGGAAGAGGGGAAATACCTAAATTAGCTCCTCTCTTCTTTTATTTTCTTCCATGTGTGTTTGAGTTACCACACCTACAGTATAAAGAATGCCTTAAATTTAAGTAGTTTCACAGCAAGTTATAGAGATACCTTGTGGGTCTGCTCAGCCACCATTTTGGTTTCGTGCAGTTCTGAATTCCCAAACAAGGTCAGAACAGCCCAATCAATCAATTACATGACCTAAAAGACTACCAGACCCTACAAAATTCCTTTCAAATTAAAGAAGAGTGAGTCGCAGGGCAAGTGGTAGCTTCTAGAGTCAGAATAGGATAGGGAAAGGCCTTGGAGAATAAGGGAGGCTCCAGAGAAAGGGCAATAAATTCCAAATGTGACTAACCATACACCCCAGACTAGCAGCACAGGACATTCTGGGAAAGGGAAAAAAAAAAAAAAAAAGGATCCTCAGATAGGAGCTGTGAAGACGCGAGAAACGTCCAAGCACAGTAAAAGATTGAGTGATACCACTGAGAACTAACCAATCACAGAAGACTGATGGGGGTCTAGAATAATCAGGGAAAGAAGGTCTATGTTCCCTGAGGCCTGACTCCACTTGGGCTTCCTTGCCCTCCCTGGCCTGGTCCACAAGCCTGGGTGTCCTACTTACTTCTGTTCTTTTTCTCCTTGATAAACTTTTCCACATCTACCTCTCTAAACGGATTTGCCTCTTTTTCTTACTCGCTGGAGAGTCAATGAAGCTCCTGCGTGGCTTCTTGAGACACCAGCCTGAGGTGGTCTAGTGGCCGGGACTCAGCGCTGCCACCACAGCCTGAGATTGAATCCTGGCTGGGTGACTAGACCCAACAATCTTAAATTATGTATTGGCAGGATGTTTGATCACCCCGGACCACGGGCATGCTTCATGAGGTATGACCAGAAATGCCTGGGGGACCACTGGCTGATGTGTGCCCTAGAGAGTGATCAGTGGAACCCCTTGTTGATAAGACTGGAACCCTGGCGGGGGGTCTGGGGTATGGTTTTGATTACAACACCATCAAGCAGATAAAAAAAATACCTGGTCAGCAGATTCATCTCCCCTGAAGCCCTAGATGACATAAGAACAGTTTCAGTTTCACCCACCCTTTCTCTTTTTTTTCTCCTACCCCACATAATTGATGCTGCATGATTACTCTATCAATAAGGACAGGATCTTGCTTTTTCAGCAGCATCCTGTGTTGTATAGATTGCTCCAGCCTCACATTCTTTGTCAGTACGGTGATGTCAATGCAACATTACCTCTGTGTGATCACAGCCCATGAAAATAGAGATTCTCCCAGCCCC